GATGAGTTTCAAGTTTTATTAATTTAGTTCAGAATTAAAATATTAAATAATTCAGTATTTTTGGTGTGATAGATCTGCCCTGGCTAAAGCAACTGAAGTTGGATCTGTAAAGCACAGCTTATAACCTTTAAATTTGTTTGATAAATGAACAGTTGAATAGTCACTGCGCCAGTATAAAAGATATATAATTATGGATGACCAACCAGGTACGAAAGGTGTCATCTGTGTGTTTTATAAGCCATGGGTCATTAAATGCTGAGCTACTATAACTGCGTAAACATAATTTTTTTTGTTGCATAGTTAAACATATAACAATCGAATAATGGTGACAGGTACTGCTCTAACATTGAATAAAATCTAATAACAAATAAATCAGGAACAGCTAAAATGACAAATCAGTCGTTCATATTACAACAAATATTTTTCCACATATAGTATATACACTAGTGTGCAAAAGATTTTGGTCAATCTGAGGAAGGCACTTTGACCTTCCTTTTTTCTTTTTCGTAGAGTTTGTTTCTATTGTTTTTAATCAAGTTAACATACATGTTACACTTGATTTCAGAATTTTTAATCCTTTTGCAATTCAATCGTATATATAATCTTCGGATAGAATTTCAATCTTTGCACTCAGCTCAACTGAAATTTTTTTTTTTTATATCTCAAGTCATGTAAGAACAAATTTTTACCAAAAAAAAAAAAATTATTCAATATTAAATTAATAGTGTATCTATAAAATTACGATTAGGACACACTAAATAAATATGCAAAACATATTAGTAACAATTGTATTTTAGTAAAATATTATAAACAATGAAATTCATCCAATACTTGCACAAAAACTGCTAAACACGAAAAACACTAATAATTTAATACCTGACTGATATAAAAAATTGTATTTGATTTAACGTGACATTCAAAGCGCTGACTTTACTGTCTTGTTGATAAGCATACTAAGCAAGCTTAGAAATAGAATTGAATTATATATTTCTCTCTACATTTTGAATCAACAATCTATAACAATGAGCATGACCAAAGACTATTTGCACACTAGAGTAACTTACAAACAACTTCAAATTTTAACAATAACTCATTCTTACTTGATGTGCTTTTTGGGAAATTTGAACAAAAAAACTTACATCAAAAGTAAAGTGTTTTATCAAAGAAAAGCTTAGATAAAAACTAGTTGGCATAAAAAAAAAACCCAACCAGGTCTCACAATTAACTTAATTCCTCGCTGTCACATTATTATTAAACATTTAAAAATAACATTACTTAATATTTAGAAATAATGTGAGAAAAATAAAAAGTTAAATTCCAATATCGAAAATGCATAAGTTATAAGAATCTGCAGGATGTTATATCAACAGATAAAAAAAGTTTAATTAAATTTGATTAATAATAATCATTAAATTTAAAAATCAACAAAAAGATGTAGGGAAATATATATATTTTTTCAAACTGACAAATTAGAATAATAATTCATTTTTGTGGAGGGTTTGTTTTATGTATAAGGTATGAGGAAATTACATTGTATCATTGCATATAAAGAGAAATTTAATCACAGTTCAGCTATTTTAACTTAAAATTACTGAATACGAAAATTAACAAAAATTTGTATTACCCTGAGAAAATAAAAACTGAGTAGAAAAAAAAAACTGGTTCCACAAAATCATTAAATTGATATTTCAATTGTAATCAGAAGTAAAAATTTAACCAAATACAAAAAAAAAAAAAAAAATTGAAATATTTCTTTTAACACAAACATTTAATACAGATTTGATTTCAATTTGACACTGACGCAATAATATTTAACAAAACTTGATTTACTTAACATTAGAAAACAACCGTTAGACAAGGTCTTTAACAGAAAAACAACTCAGCCACACAAACCTTAGTTTCTCAAACCTCCAAGCATTACAACTCAGAGGCAAAATAGTACAGCGTTTCCTCCACTAAACACTATTTTTTCTTTAAGTAAAATGGGAAAAATTCATTTGCAACAGAAAATTCACAAGAATTCAAAATTTGGAGTTTCCACTCTTAAGGTTCAAAATAGGAATATATTTTTCCCTTTAAATTTTAAAATTACAAACAAATATGCAACGAATGATATGAGTTTAAGGGAGGGGGAAAACAACAAAATGAAACTAATAAACGATTTTGCAAATTGAATTGCAACAGTGCTCTTGTATCCTCCCAAATAAATAATCCATACAAAAACAGCTATTCACAAGACAGTAATAACAGGATAGGTAGATTGAAGTGGTACACATTTAGTGCAATTACATTATTTTCAAAAAAAATATTTGATATTTAGCATCAATTTAAAGCAACATATATCTATCTATATATGTTAAAAGAGATGTTTGAAGGTTAGATTTTATATGTGTATATATATACAGTCTACATTCTTTAGTATGACCCCTATTAGTGTGATCCTTCCATTATAACGACTGTTTCATGAGGCCCACCAGCTGTTCCATAAACGCAATGTTATTTTAATGCCGATTAGTACGTTCGAACTAAACCGTTCTTCCCAATATAGTGATTGAAATTTCATTTCGTTTTCTTTTAATTCCCGGAAAATCACCCCAAAAACGGGTGCAAGACACTTTCAAAACTTACATTTTCCCATTGAGAACGAGTCAATTGTTAACAAAAGTCTTGACAAAACTATTCAAACCAGTATTTTTTATTTTCATGTTACCGCTCAATAAAACATCTTGAATTCTCTATAAATGAAGAAAGAGTGATAAATTGAAGAGAGACCACCTATTTTAAACCTAGGAGCTTTTAGGCACAATCTGTGGTCACAAGAATTGTGAAATATGGATTACCTACAATTATTGAGAATTTGAAGAGTATATTGTAACGTCATTCAGAAATTTCAGTTTCAAAATATTCGTCATTAATTTCTTTCTGTTGTTTTGTTTGAAGATTGCATTCACTCTTTCTGTGAAGTGTTGTAAGAGGTGGTTTATTTCGGAGCTGAATTATATTATTCATATTCTTTTTTATTTCAGTTTTGCTCTTTCGCTGGACTGATGTTATTTAGCAAAAATGGCTGCTTCTAACCAGTGTAATGCTTCGAGCAGGAATTAAAAATTTTAAAATAAAAGGATAGAAGAACGACAGAAATGGTTAAAATATTCAAGATTCTAAAAATAACTTAGTTTACAATAATTAAAAATGATGCTGTAATTTTAAAGGCAGAAGAGCAAAGTTTGCTAATTTCATGACATTCTTGCAAAGCAAAATTTCAATCCAGAAAAAATACTGAATGAATGTCTAAAGTTTATGCGCAAAATTAAAAGATGTCACTTGAAAAAAAATTTTGATGAATTTTTAATTTTTAATGAACTATATTAAAAAATTTCACTTTACTTTTCAGTCAGTTTCATAATTCTGTTTAAAAAGTAGTGTGTTTTTGCCAAAATAAAAGCAGTATTTATAAAATATAAGTAAATATTTGTACAATTTTTTATGTAATCACGATATAGCAACCTCGTATTATAATGCCTGTTTTTGTTTATACCAAGAGTGTTATATTGAGCGTCAACTATATATATATATATATATATATAAAAGCTAAAAAATTAAGNTATATATATATATATATATATATATATATAAATAATAAATTAGCACTTAGAATTTTTTCTTTTTTTAAAAATTTAAAATAAAGCCATTCTCTCTCTATATATATAAGTATATATATGGATATATATAATAAATGCATGTTAGGCAATAATCAAAGTTAATATTCAAACAAAACTTTTAGACTATTAAGTTGAACAGTTATGAGAAACATCTCGAAATATACTAAAAATATTTTATTGAGCTGATATTCTTTTGCAAGCTGCACGGAACAATAAATTAAACGTCAAAGTGATTTTAATATACTTTAAAGTATAAGAACTTAAATATATAAACTTAGTGCTTAACTTCAAGCACCCTATCCTGTAAACCAACTAAAAAATTGTTCAAGATAAATATTATTTTAACAAACCACCCAAAAAACAAACACTATTTTTTAATCATACATCCCTTCAAAGCAGCTCAAGTTACTTCTCGTGCCAGATAATTGAAATATAAAGTGTTATCCACTATGAAAGTAATTAAGATTCTTAACAGATTTAATTTTTGATGGGATTGCAACATTTGCAGTTGTAAAGTAATGTTAAAATCATTTTAGTTGGAGTAAGTTAATAATACATCTAAATAATGTTCTGCCATACAACTTTTATACGTAATAAAAAATATACAAAAAAGACAGAATATTGCGATTTGCAGAAATTCTCCAAAAGCAACAATATAGCACATAAGTTCTAATAGACTTCTATTAGAACTTTTTAAAATGCGTAGATTACAATTATTGAATTTCTTTACATATTTTTAGAGATTAAGAATTTAAAAATAAATAATGAAAGTCAAACAATATATTAAGATTTGGGTACTTTTCACAAGTTTAAAGGATACAATTTCGTACAGAGCGCAATAAAAAGGACAGCCTGAATAACTTTTGATCTGATGATTGGATTTTCACATATAAGGACACAATCTAAATGGTTTAAAGGCACGTAACCTTAAGAATACAAATAATTTGGCATAATCTTATTTAAAATTACATACGTCAAAGCGATGTACAAATCTGCTTTGTACAATTAAATTTTTTTTTATAATTATTATTATTATTAGATATAACTCTCAAGCAATCTCCTCACTAAATAATTGGAACCACAAATTTTGGTTCAAATTTTGATGCTTAAAAAAGTGAATCTAGTTAAAAGAAAATTATGTTTAATCAGAGAAAAATGAATTTTTATGTTATAGATTATAAATATCATCTGAACTGTTTTATTTAAGGAGAGGCTTTCAAACTGATGAGATACAGTTTTCGTAAACAAAACTCTGGTCAGTTCAAAATTTTTTCAGGATGCTGATTTTTATATTTTGCGCACTGTACCTCTCTATCTTTCGAGGGAGGAAAAATTGAATGCTTGACATGAATTTTTTTCTTTAATAAAGTTGCAATTTAGATATATTTTACAATTTGATGCACAACTTATGGATGTCATAACAAACAATACTTTTCTTTAAATAAATAGGAAAGTTATGAAATGAAAATTCAAAGCATATAAGTGAAATAAGAATAAAAAAATGCACAATATTGAAACTATGTTTCATAGAAATGATCCTTAAAAATCAATTAAATTTGAGCTTAATTAATTTCTTAAGCCCCATTACAAAACATAACTCAGAAAATATTAGATGAACAATAAAATATTTTTAAAATTACTCAGAATACCTTATATACAACTAAAACATGTTAATTTTCTATTCATAATATATTTTTTATGTATTTGTGATCTAATTTGTATTCTGAATTTCAACTTTTTATGTGACTTTACATTCAATAGAAATTTGTGTTTGCAACTGCATCAAAAAAGAAATGTTCTGTCCAAATTTTTGCTTTTTGTTATTAATGATGAATCCACACTTAGAATAAAAAATGCAGCTTACTGTTCATGATGTATCTCTCATGTCATTTTAAAAAGGTACTTTTAACAAAGATTAATAATTTAGACAGAAAGAAAATTTAAAAAAAAAAAAAGAAAGAAAAAGCTTTTTGCTGTTAAATTTGAGAAATTGTATATTTTGTTAACTCAACACAACTGAATGCAGCATGAATGAGACATTCCAACTTGACACAATGACACTTAAAATAAATAAGATAACCAGGTTTTGATGCTGGTAAAGGTACAATGAAATGTCAAATTTTAATTACATTCTGTAATTAAGTATAGATGTTCTTTAAATTATGAGGGTATTAAGCGGATCTTATCCGTTGAAATTCAGTGCTGACAAGTAATTATTATAAGTTTAATACCAGGAAAGCCCTAATTATCCTAAAAAACTTCAATGTTTCCTTTGGCTGGTGACAAAACAGTTTTTTTGATAAAAGGATGAACACCAGGCACAAATGTTTTCCTATCCTATGCAGTAAAAACTACAAAAACCTATTGTCTTATAACATTTCATATTGCTCACATCAACAATTTGTGACTTGTTCTCTTACATCCATCTCTTCAAGTAAGGGTTGGAAAATAAAAGCAGTCTGTAAAATCGAGACCACTAGAATTTTACTCGAACCACCAGGAAATATTTATTAGAGATAGAAGCTGTTTAGTTTTTAATTTTCAGTTTTGTCATAAAATAGCACAGCATATTTCATTATAATCGTGCACAATTTTTTATTTAAATTCACTTAGTCATTTTTTTAAAAGAAAAAAAAAATAATAGAGGCATGTATTCGAGAACTTTTTTACTTCACCATTGAAAGATATTTCAGGATTTCACATTTATACATACATACACACCTGTACAACAAAACCTAGCTATCTTATTCATTTAAGGTTTTTTTCTTTTGTGTACTTTAGTTAAAACTTCATTCTTTCCCTAGATCTACATTGAAGCATTTCAGAGTATAATTAGACCAATAACAAAAATTAGACCTTAACTAGACTGTCACACTGAAAAAAAAATTATAAAATATCAAATATAAAATATCAAATATAAAAGCTAAACAAATATGGATAATTTTTAGAAATTTGAAATTCTTTTGAAAAAATTTAAAAACCTCCAATTAGACGCTGAATTTCATAATATCTACAGAAAATCTGTAGTACATTAGTCGTAAGCAAAAACTGCATATGTTATGAGAATTAATTTTTTATGAAAGGGAGAAAAAAAATGAAACAATAATACATTAGCTCCAGCAAACAAGAAGTACATAGGTGAATCACACATAAAAACTTAATGATTTAATTTTTGATAATAATAAAAAAAAACATCCCGGTAGCAATAGTAACTTGAAAATTGTCTAACACCACACACAAGAAAACCATTCAATTAAAGGAAATGTGATTAAATAAATCTTCTATGTACAATAAATCTAAAACAGTACATCTCTGGCGATGAAAATATATAAGAGAATCCATCATCTAAGAATTAGCAATGACTTATTAACAATGTGCAATAGAAATAAGAGTATCTTAATATATATATACAAGAGGAAATTTTCTCTGATAACTGTTTCTAAGTTACTTGAAATGCAGTGGTAGGGTCACTGCATAAAAGGCAATATACAAGCTCGATCACAGTAGTACATGGTCCTCATTTTGAAAAGGCGTGCAATGCGCCACAGAGTTTAGTAACACAGCGGCATCAAGTAGTATTAATAGTTTTAGAATCAACACTTAGACATCATTCCCAGATAACATGTAAGCTTAAAACAAGTTTTCACTCTTGTATGCAAGTTTCTTTTAAGATATGAACGTTAAAATATTGTAAAATATTTATTGGTCATATTTCATTTGAAATCTACATTCTGCTTTTTCTACATAAACAATTCTAACGAAAAAAAAAAAAGGGAATTAACAAAATGCTCTTGTTGTAGTCTAATCTAAGAACAGAAAAAAGAAACATGATTATATCATGTTTCTTTTCTCAAAAGAGGGGGGGAAGAAATTATTGGGATTTTAGTGACTTTCGTTATATTTTAAAATACATTTGGCAGGTTTGGATTGATAAGATGCGTAATTGGAAACCAAGCTAACTACTTTTAAGGAAAAGTAGAACAAAATAAGCATAAATAATTTGTTGTAAAATAAAGTTCCATCTTTAATTTTGAAAATGAACTTTAAAACAACACAACTTTATACCCTACATCTTTTGGATAGTTTTGATATCTTTTTTAATTAGAAAAAAGGAAAAAAATATTAACATCTTGGGAAACTTTTGCCGAAAATAATTTTGCAACAATATATATATATACATACTTTAGGGAAACATAACTGAATTCCTCACCATGGTTCTATCTTAAGAAAGGAAGAAAAATAAAAGTTTCAACCTCAATATTTTCATAATAGTTCAAAATTCGTAAGCAGGATGCCAAAGTTTGAGAGAAATAATAAGGAAATACCAAATTCAAGTACAATAAAATTACAAAATGGATGAAAAAGTTTAGTTAGCCTTTACCTTGAAAAAAATAATTTACTGAAAAGAGGGAGAACATAGATTATCGCATAGGGCATTGAAATTTCTAAAATTTTTGTTTTGAATGCAGGAAAACTAATACTAGTTGAATGGCAAAACATAAGTAGAATAATTCAACAATGAACTATATTTTGTATCTAAATCTTGCTCATTTGAATTAAAATTAATATTGCATAAAATAAAAGTTTTTTTTTCAGCTCTTGTACATGCTTTTATTTTGTTACTTGTACCATGTCATAAGTTTATCAATGCATATATTGTATAATAATTGTAACTGTACTCCTGCAAAATGTTCAAGATTTTTTTAATGAATTTCTGCAAATTTCAGTCCTTTTTCTTGTGACAAACTGCGACCCTAATAATATTGTTAAATAATTTTTTGAAGATACCTAATAAATATTTGTATTTACCAAAAATCTTATAGCAGAACATTTGATACAATTCTGCTCGTGGGCCTGCAGTTAATCTGCTTGCAAGATAATAACTTAAGTTTACACTACATGTACCTGCAAAATGGTTATTGCAAACTTGGTCCAACCTTTCCACAAGAGTTACAAACTTAAGATTACTTTGTTACCTGGATATATGTCAACTTTCTACTTAGTGATGCAAAAATTTAATTTAAAAGGAAAGCCTTCTGTCATGTCAATTAAACGGTATGGATTCACACCTGAGTATATAAAAACTACTTATAAAATAAAATAAAAAGTTACAGTTAACAGCATCATGCTGTCACATTTTAGTTAACTTTAAACACTATAAAACATTATATAAAAACCCTTTAAAAGATATAAAAATATTTTAAAAGGCGACGTTGAGTCTCAACCGGTTTTGCATAATCAGTCCGCTTCAAGCGAATAAAACATATACAATAGCTCTCACTTTTATCATCGTTTTTATCACGAATTTTCGAATCATTTTGTACAATATGGAGTGCTATAATAAATAATATGATAATTTGCACAGTACTTTGTTTACAACATTTCAAATATATTATCTCTTTCTTTCTCTCATAAAAACAAAATTAGAAGCGAAGCAAAAGTACAGCATTTGAATTGTGTCCTATGTACAACAAAAAAATAAATCATTTACATTCACGATTCTCACTGTGACTGTCGCTTATGGATGGACAGCAGAAGTCACATGATCCAAAATTCATGATTCATCCATGAAAGGTTAAAAGGGACCCATATCCCGCCTAAGCCGAAGTGACAAGTTAATGTGATACATCTACCTAGCATAATATTTATACAGTAGTGAACTGCGGACAGTTTTAGGCTCTGTTTCCATCACAAACAGCAAGTCTCTAAGATTGACCCTCTTGACACGAGGCCGAGTCTAAAAAAAAGAAAGGAAAAATATGTGTTACAATAAGTTTTAAATTTTTCTACTCACAAATAAATTAAAGTGGCCATAAACATTAAAAATATTAATTCTGTGACTTTATCAGACCAGTGGTCGGAAGTAGTGCACTTGAAATTACAGTAGTCGCCACTTCTTTCCGTAGTTTGTAGTATAGTGAGTAGTGCGATACCAAAAAAACAGTAGTTATGTAGCAATTTCTGCAAACTAGCTGTGTACTTCAGTAAACTAACTTCTGTAACTTAGTTTAGAAAAGAAACACGGTTCTAAGGCAAGTAATTTGATGGATACAAATCTTCGCAATTCCATCATTGAATGCAATGAAAATAACCCCGAGGCTGCAACTGAGTATTAACAGAAGTTACATATTTAAAATCCAGTATCACTAGCCATTATGAAAAGTAGATAGTTAGTCACTTCGGTTGCACTTTCAAACGCGAATGCACACTCGTTAAACATTGATGTTACTTCAAAGAAATGGAACGTATTTTTGATGTACTTAATTTCCTTGAGGAAATAGAAGAGCATTAAATAATTAAAAAATTATTTCATAATTTTGCATTTCGTGATAAAAATATTCACTGTTGAAAAAGGCATAAAAAGTTAACATTAAATGAACTTAACAAAAAATGTTTCAGAATAAAAAACTGGCTCATATAAACATCAATAAATATTTCTCAGTTATTCCCTTATATTTAATGTAAGCTAATTTCTTAAAAACCATTTTGAACATAAGTGTAAATAAAGTTCTTCTAAGTATGAAAAATGTGTTTAATAAAAAGTCTGCATCAAAAGATCAACTAATTAGCAACTGGCAAAAACTGTGGAAAACTTCTGGTGCTAGTTAGCATAATTATGTCTATAGTTACGGAATACTGTTCTTCAAATAGCGTAGATAAATATTTTTGCTAGGTTGAACATTTTGTATCGAATATAATTGGGAAAATGTTTCTCCATCCTGCACTATTTCGCTATTGAAGTACATGGAAAAAGCAGTTTTGCTATGAGGAGAAGACTGCAGGTTAAAATAAGACTTTTTACGAGCAGAACCAACAGTAGGTTAATAAGACTAAAAATGAAAAAAAAATTTTTTGAAGCTTAGAATAAATTAATGCAAAAGGAGAAAAAACTAATACTAATAAATTAATTAAAAAAATGAAACATAAGAAGAAATGTAAAAGAAGGTAAAAAATAAATAAATAAAAATATAACTTCGAATTTTTTGCTCTAACTTATCTCATTTTGAAAATTTTAGTTTCCCCCATAATTACACTTTCAGTAAAAATGCTGGACCACAATAAAATGCAGATTAAAAAACAAAGAGCAAAAAACTAACATAAATAATAAAGATAAATAAAAAAAATAAAATGGAAAAGTTGAAGGAAAAAAAGCAATAAGTCCTGTTAGATGATAATAACTAATAACTCACAATTTAAAATCTTAACTAACTCATAATAAAGGGGGAAAAAAGATGGTAACATTTACTGAAGAAAATATTTAAAAAAAAAAAAAAAAGGACTAAGAACAAAAATAAAAGTGAAAAAGTGAAACATAAATTGCTGGAAACAAATTAATACTTACAGGTATTCGAAAACTACTGCTGTTTGAAAAGGAATTATCACTATTACTTCCAGCCTAAAAAAAAAATTAAAAATAGACATTATAGGAAAATTATGCATGGTTACTAAACTATAAATTCAAAAAGAAAACTTTTTACCTGGCCAGAAGACGAAGCAGAATTATCAATTTTTTGCTTTTTTCTAGGACCTATTGCAAGAAGGGCAGTAAGATTTGCTTCCCGTTGTCTCATCTCTTCTATTTCAGCTCTTTGCATCTACAATTCAATATTCAGATTAGTTTTTTGTTAATTCCTGTGCCTGCAATGCATATTCTGTTGATTTCTCCAAGACAACCTATATATGTGGGAATCCAATCCCCACTACAGCAGCGCCACCCCACATATGTGAGATTCCAGCTAAACGCTCAGACGGAGCGGTTGTGTTATTTCGATTGTTGTTATTTTTTTCATTAAATTTGTTGTTACAAAAGCGTAGTTATTTCAGCTATACCTGACGCCAACCTCCACATGGGGGCTCTGGCCGTTTGATAAAATATAATTAACATAGACGGTGTTGATTAACCAACGATAATTGATAATTAAACACAGACGGTGTTTACTGTTTACTTGACTTACCAGACGGGTGAGTTTAAATTTGAACTGCATCTCTGGCCTTGACCTTGGTTTTTGTGAAAGATAATTAACACAGACGGTGTTAGTTAACCGAAAGATAACTAAGCACAAACCGTGTTTACCTAACTTACCAGACGGGTAAGTACAGCTTTCGATTTGAACTATCTCTCTTAAACTGTATTAATTATTATACAATGACATCNTCAGGCTCTTCAAAATTTTTGTTAAACTTTTAAGTTAAAGCGACTTTGCTAAAGGCTATTTTCTTTAAAAAATACTGTTTATAAAGATGAAATATTTTATGGCAGCATTGCATTTTATAAAAATGGTAATTAAGCACTGTATTTAAATTAGAACTCAGCATAAAAGAATATTTCAAATATGCAATAAAATGTAAAAAAAATTTGTTTAAAAAAAAAAGAATATCTTAATAGACCTGTCATTAATTTTTAGCAATAGATTTTCAGTCCTATTTTACTAGTTTCTTTTACATTTGAAAAGAACATGTAACGGAGAAGACATTTTTCAAACATCAACATTTTAATTATTTTCCTAGAATAATTAAACTAGGAAATCTAAATCTGATTACCAATTTCCAAATTGTTTATTTCATAGTGCAATCCTCATTTCATCGTCTGAGATATTCAAAAAAAAAAAAAAAAATCTAAAATTTCTAAAAAAAAATCTTAATGTATAGAGAGAAAAAAAAGCAACGAGGTTTTAAAGAGGTGAGAGAAACCTTAAAGTACAATTTTTAAAAAGAAAATATTTGTAACATTAATTAGAATTAAACCTGTAAATAGAAATAATTCTCTTGGTCTACCATTAACAATCATGCATTAATTTTTCTTACAATTAAAAAAAAAAAAAGCAGAATAAACAGGAAATTAAAAATATTATAAGTATATATCATTTATCTAGCTAAATAAGGACAACATGAATTCCATTCAAAAATAAATTATAATATAAGTTATATAGATTTTAAAATTCTGTATAAAACTGATAATAAGAGTTCATTTTTTAAAAGAAAAAAAAAAGAGTTAACGTAATAAAAAGTTTTGCATTACATTGTTTAATTTGTTTAATTATAGGCTTGTGGATGCTGAAGACATCTAGGGAGGCACTAAAGATTTCTAGAGGACCAGCAACAAATTTGTTACATTAAAATTACTAATAAGAAATTTTAATTAAATAACAAATCTTTCCCAAAAAAGTTTAAGGTATCTAATAATTTGGTACTTTTTCTCTGCAACTTTTGGATTTCTACAGTTAGTAGCACTGGGCGATGTTAAGATTTTGGCATTGCGATGCATCGCCACTCTAGCATCACGATAATTCGATACACAATAATAAACTCATCACGATAATAAACTCAATCCTCAGCTAACTTTCAAAAAATGCTATTAATTCATCAACAATAAATTGATTTCTTTCTTTTTGGAATCAATAAATCACAACAGTGACATGATGCATTGAAAATAAAAATAAAAAATTTGAATAATTTGTGCAGAAGGGGGAGGCTTGAGGCAAAAATTAGTTTACCACTGCCTATGTCATTAAATAAGTAATTATGACTATAAAAATCAAAATGCACACTGAGATCATTCATAAAAATCTTCATAAACAGAAAAATAAAAATTTTGCTGATGAATTGAAAAGTTAGGAACAAATAACGCTAAAATGTACGAAACTTCCTATTCACCCACTTCAAATTCAAATTTAGTTCATTACCATCAATAATAAAAAAAAAAGGAAAAAGCTCTTCATGCAAGCTTGCAGTCATCAATTTCATGGTCTACTGTGAAACCTTCATCATGATGCGTGTAGAAATCGCTGTTAATGATGCATCTGAAACATCTCACGCATCTCGGTAAATCGCAATTTTAGATGCTTTGAAAAGTTGCAGATTCAAACATCGGATCGGCGATGATTACACAACATCAATATTTTTTTATCTTTAGATGTATCGCCCAGTCCTAACAGTTAGTTTACAAACGTTTGCTGCCTGACTAGAAATCACAGAAGTAAATGTACGGGACAACATTGATGGGCTGCAGGTTGGCCAAATTTCCTCATAAATGTTTATTACAGATCCATAGGAATATTTATAGATAAATTGCCAAGTTGATTTAATTTAAATTGCATAGGAATGTTATGTCATTATATATTGTCGATTTTCATAAAAAAGTTTTAATAATAAAATTATTAGCTAATAAGAATTTTCAATAAAATAACAGCATGATAAAAGCGAATAATAGTGAAAATATTAAACTACTTGAAAAAAATGAGTCCAATAAAAAAACTTTTTCTTACAGAGTGGCGTTAAGAAATTGTTTGCTTTGTCAAGTGGACGGTGATCCAAAAAAAGGTTGGGAAACTGTTTAAATTAAAATTATTTTTATAATACTTATCTAAACAATTTAGTTTCTTCCAGTCTTTATGGTTTTTCCCAATGTCCCGAAAGAAATGTCTCTTTCAAAATAAATTTTAACCTTGTTAAAAACGCATTTAAAATTAATAGTTAATTTTCTAATTATTAATTAGTGGCTAATTTTAAACTTGGACTTGGCCCAGAATCTCATGCAAACAATGATATTTTCAAACTCTATCAGGAATGCCAGAAACAAGAATAGTCTGCCAAGTTTTTGTGCCTCTTCGGATGCAGCACTATTCACTGGTGTACATTTTCTCTCTCTTTTATATTCTTTGTTCTAGTTTAGTGGCATACATTATTTATGAGTTGATTTCTGAATAAAGGAATAAAGCTATATAAAAAAAAGTTACTTTCATTTATTGACAATTTTAATAAATGCCACTATAGTTTATGATTTAATTTCATTTCTTGCATACCAGTGTCTTGCCTTTATGAATGGAACTGCACAATATGTTTTTTTCACTGCAATGAATTTTTTTTTTAAATTTTAATATTGTATTTATAGTTAGTGAAAATTTCAGTCAACCTTAACTTGTTCTGGAAAAAAAAAACTATTGCTTGCGTTTCAAACAAAACTTTAATCAATATCGTCATTTTGTTAATTGACAAATGTTTAACGCACATACATGTGACAAAAAAGTGCAATCCTTTTTTTTTTTTAAAACAAAACATGGTTAAAAAAAGAGGAATAAATCACAATCAAATAGAACTAAAATTTGAGTCTTAATAAATTCAAAACAATCAGAACATATTTAGAATTCGGCAATTTGATAAATGAACAATAACTCATTATTGTAATTCAAGGATGGCACCCTGACAGTAATAAATTTCCATCAAAATTCTTAATAAATTTTCTATAAAACAAAAAGTGCTCTTTCCTGACTACAATAAAGAAACTTAACAACATACCTCTTTTGCTTTAGCTTTCAGTTTCAAGAGTTCTGGGTCTTCCAGTTTTGATCGACTCTGAAACAAAAAGTAAGTATGTACTTAAATAAAAGAATATAAATTATCAAAATATTGAAATGAAGAAAGCAAACAGTTTTCACTAAAAAAAAAAAAAATTATGATGTTTATTCCAAAATTTCTTGAAAGTTTCAGAATCTCTGAAGCTTTAAATAAATCCATATTTTTAAATCTTTGGGCACCTAATGTCCAGAAGTGAGGGCTAATATTTTCTGCATCAGATATTTCGGATTTGTTTTATCAGTTTCAACAGTAACAGATTCTTTTCAAAGATCTGTTACACAATATATAATATATTAGTTGTTGCTATTTGATTGGGTATATAAAAATTCATGTCAGCCAATGAGAAGCAATGATAGTGCATAGTCTCTTACATCTTTTATCAGCTATATATAACTATCAATATAATTATAAATTCGTATAGAATTTATAAATCTACATAGCTAGCAGTTGGTAAATTATGCCAAATCTGTTACTTCTCCACAGATATGGTTTTGAATCATATTATCCATAAAAGATTACTTGAAATTAGTAGTGAAAATAACATAAATTGAGTAAAATTTGAAAGTGAATTTTAATATATTTTTAATGGAGAATGTAAATAATAGATGGTGATGAAATGATAATTTAATGGCCATGAATAAAATATTTCAGAAAGTGATCTTGATTTGATTTTATATCCGAACTAACCACATAATATTTGTTTCAAAGCCTGTTACTTACTTTGGAACAGGTATTGTTTTGAATCTGATTACCCATAGCAGATAAAAAGAAATTAGTTGTGTAAATTTTTTTAATAGTTTTATTCATACAATTAAGCACGGAAAGTGCTTCATTTTACACAAAAAGCCGTGCTGAATAGTTTTTGACTTTTCTTAAAAACAAAAGCTATTAATTATAACATTATAATGAATAACTGTTCAACTATTTAAAACTACCTACTTTTGCTGCTTTAAGTAAAATTTCTTTTTCTTGGTCATCATGACGCTTCTTTTCTAGTTTATCTAATTCTTCCAGGAACTTTATCTGAGATTTTGTATCTCGTGTTATCTCATATTTTGGATCATTCTATAATAAAAAAAGAAAACTATCATCATCACAAGTTTGGTAGGATTTAAATCAAAAAAATTTTAAATTATTACAAATATACTCTTAAGAGTATAACTATAGGTTATTGTAAATGATTTCCCCCCCTAAGTCTCATGTAGAGAAATAATTAGAGGGAAGATTTTGATAAAAGTCAAGTTGGAACATTTAAATAACATAATTTTCCTTTGTATGCAAAATAATTTGCTGTTTAACAAACTTATTTAAATTACATCCCTTTAGTTTTATGTTGATTTAAATACAAGTCCTCTTATAAAAATGTAATTTGTGTTTATGAAAGATAAAGGAAAAACAAAAGAACAACGAATAAATTGGCACTAATTGATATTTTTTTCTACATTTTCCACTCTAAATAATTTATTCTTCATTTTAAATCTAACTGACATATTGGGTCTTGGTCGTTAAAAATTCACGAGGGTGTTTTGTGTCAAGCTCGAACAAACGACAACTACTTTTCTAAATGTTAGTTTTGAATAATTATATACAAAATAACTTCAATAGTTTAATTAAAAATTATTTTAATAATTCTGTTTTTAAATAATATAAAGCATTATTATACATTTTATGAGTTTCGATAGGTAAACAAAAATTGCAATGACACAATTATAGCTATTTCATAAATAGAAGCATTAAAATTAAAATTGATACCATAATCAGCATTACATCATTTAGAAGAAGAGTTACAAAAGTAGGGAGCAACTATATTTTTTAATAACTAGATGAAAGAAATATTCAAATCTTGGATCACAGAGAGAGAAATTTGTAATATGGATCAGTGTAATTATTTGCACTGAGTCATTTATATTCTGTCACAATACCTTGGACTGGTATATGTAACAGGATGTTCCGATTTCTTTTGGACTTTGTGCCACCCAAAAGATGCGATAAATCAATTTTTGAAATATTTAAAAAAATTTATTAAGCAACATTGTTAATGATTGATTTTATTATTTTAGCACCTGCAGGGTATATGAAAACAAGTTTTAGTTGCCAGAATATCTAAATTCGATAAATGAACAAGTTTAGAAGAAAAGATCTCGAAATGAGTGTTAATCAAGGAGTAAGATCTAATGGACAATTACAGTCAATTTTTTTAAAAAAATTTTAATGCATTCAGAATCCCTCAAAACTACCAGAAATTTTTTATTACTTTCCTAATAAGGCTATTTATTTAGTTATTTTTAATCAAAAAACGCTTATTTTTGTTTTCACCTGAAACGGAGAGTCCCGATTCACGAACTGACGTCACATGTGTTCATCTGACGTTCACTTACATTGCTGTGCTGTGAAAGCCAATATGTTCTTGCTTTCGTTTCAATTTTCGTAATTAAATCCAACTACTTTAGATGGTCAATAACTATCTGTACAAAAAATTGCACCCTAATATCGCTTAATAAAAATGTGGTTTAATACAACATATTTTTATAATGTTACATTTCAATGGTACCCACTGAAACATTGCTAATAATTGACGAAATTTTCTAGCTCTGAATATTTAAGATTTTTTAGTTCAATAATAAAAGTGTGCGGTATTGCTTATTAAATGATGCGCTATAAATACAAAATAACTTAGTTTTTTCATTTTTTTTTAACCATAATAATCTTAATTTTAATGTATACTTCAAATTCATTTCATCAAGATTTATTTTCATCTTACGTGAAAGAAATGTTGGATCATTTTTTTTTAATGTAGATTAAATAGTTTAAGGTTTTAAAATGTAGGAAAGCCTAGGTTATTGATAATTTTTATTTATTTATTCTAGCGTGAATTCAAAGCATGTAATTGTCTGCAGCATAGCAGTAGCCTTTTAAAAGATTTGTGATCACAGCAAAACTTCAAATTCATTCTTTCAACAAAAAAATTTAATGTTAAAAGAAATTTTTTTCATACATTCCAGTAGATTTTCATTAATTTTATTTTAATTGCCTTAATGTATGTTTTAAGAGTATTTGAAATCAAGCACATGCATTTATTTAGTTCCTTATTACAGAAGCAGGAATTAAATTTTATAAGTGCATATAAAAAAAAATTTTCCGCCATATAGCAAAGTTCATATTTACTCGAAGAATAAAAATATTGAGAAAAAATATCGACATTACTGTTTATATTTTAATTATTTAATAAATAATAAAGAATGTGCATTATAGAATTACTTTGCATTTTGTATAAGTTAATTTTTTATTATTGTTTTTTAGCTTTAGTGAAACAAAAACTTCTAGCTTAATGATATTCGCTGAGATTTTGTGGATAGATGAGTTAATTAGATGTGGATAAATGAGAAATTAAGTGAAATTTTAAGTATAACTAGATTATGGTGATGATGATGGTCAGATATATTTCAATGGACTAGATTCTTGAAAGTGTTAATACGTTTTTGGCTATACCGAATGCTTAACCTGAGATTTTTTTCCAACTATTTTAATTAAATTTTCTTAATTAAAAATGCATAATGTATTAATTTTACTATTTTAGAATTCTTCATTGCAAGCACTGGCAAATAGTTTGCAAAAATACTGAGAGAAATGAACAATAACCATACCTTGTTAATACTATATTGCAGAAAAAGGAATTAAAATGTACAAATTTGAAAATAATTTCTAACTGTAACGAAATTCCCATTTAGGCAAAGAATAATAAATATAAGCGTAATGTATTTTTAAATATTTAATACATAGTAAAAAAAAAAAAGAAAAAAGATGACATAAACTGCATTAGTCAATATTTACTTAATCCTTCAACTCTAGTAATAAATAAAAGAAGCAACATTATTTGAATTCTTGAACATTAGCACATAGATTGTAACGATGTTGGACTGAAGATATATTATTTTCTGCATGAGAAAAATTTTCTGTATACTCTTGTTATTACAAGAAAAAAAAAAGGGATTTTATTTTTAATGAACAGAATCCATGCTTCATGAAACTGAATAATAAGTTGAAATTAAATTTTTAAATTTAGGTAAAACATACATTTTACTTAACATATACTATAATATGTTTGCACAAAGCGAAAAAAACAAAAAAACACTCTGAATAAGTTTTGATCAAATTTTCTGAACAGGGATTAAATCTTAATGGTTTGAGAGGGTGGGCTCGAATATGTTAATTAGTACAGACCATATTTTCAGTTAAAAAATCAGACATAAAAACATACTTAATACTTCCTGAGAAATTATATTTTAATCGAATAAACAAACACAATGGGGGATATTTTTTTGCAACAGATTTGGATTCTTTACCCTTAAAATATAACTACAACCTGGGGGGGGGGGAATTAGGGTGTGCTATTAGTTTGGTCAGGAGAGTGGTCCAAAATTTTGATTCCTTAAAACTTCTATCTTTTGTATATTTTGACATATCTTAGGAACTCTCCCAGTAAATATTTGAACAGAATTATAAAATTGGTTTAAAGGCATTTCCAGGTAAAAAATTAATTTCAAGTAATGTGTAGATATGCACATTTTTTATCATTCAAAGAATGTAAATTTCTAAAGCAAAATACAAATCTGCTAATTAGTTCCTAAGAAATAAAATTTAAAATTCGACTTCTCTACTTGACTGATTTTGTATTTTGCCTTGTAAAATTATATTCTTTAAAATGATATAAAAATGCATAGTACTATTAAATAAAATAAATAAAAAATAATAAATGAATACTAAAAATTTTTTGCATGCAACTAACTTTGAATTTACAATTTTGTTTACAGTTGTGCGCAGTTTTTTTCTTTCTTGATTCACTTAAAAAATCCCTAAAATATACTGAATTACGCAAAAGGTCTAAACTTTAGACCAGCCTCCCGACGTTACTATTGAGAGATTAGTTCCCAGATTGCAGTGACGATTCCAATATCAGAAATCGAAAATAGTTGGAAAAAGGTATGTTTATTCGGAGAAAGTCTGATTTGGTAACTTAAAAATATCATCTGCACTAATTAATTAGCATATTTGAGGTCACCCCCCTTGAAATATTAAGATTGAGTCATAGTACCTGAAGATCAGGTCATTAGTAGAAAAATTAAGCAGGGTGATTTGTTTTCTTTTCTTGTGCACTGTACATTTAGTAAAACACATTTGTAATTTTAAAAATAAAAATTGCTAAAAAATTTTTTGGAATAACTGTTTAATAAAATATAGATTTTTGATCAGCAAAACTAGGGGATACCTCATGATGAGTAATATAGATGAGTTTTACCACTGCAGTAAGAAAAAAATAACTGTCCAACAAACAATCACCTTTTCAACAACAAATTTCATCTAGCCAGTGTTAAAAAGAAAAACTTTTGAATTGACAATTTTTAAGGAAAAGTGAATAAGTTATAACAGCAAACCTTTATAATTTCACTCCTGTGGTCAGATACTATACTTAATCTTTCAATTAAAGTCTTCAATCTATTCTCGGCAGCATGCGACACTAAATCGACGACATCACTCCGAATTTCATCCAGACCATGTTTTTTAGCTAGGAAAAGACAGCAAAACAATAAATGTTTCTTAAGTAATAACACACAACATTTTATGTAGGAAAAAAATTTTCAGGAAATTTTTTCCATTTTTCAGGGGAAAAAAAAAAATTGCAATACTAAAATTTTTTAGAAATTTCATTCAGTGCTTATGCTTAATTTGAAGAAGAAAAAAAAAAGAAGTTTTTCTTGTTTATCAACAGAAACAATTCTAAAAAATAATGCACATAGCCATGCAATACATCAGTAATATAAAGATGAGAATAATACTGGTGCACCAAGAACACCAATGAAATTTTAAACAAAAAGTTAGGCATCATTATCAGAACAAAATCATTATCAATCTTACTTACTACCAGGGCTGTCACATTATTTTATTTAATAACCTCCGTTGAACAGTAAACCCAATTTTGAGTTTAAGACTACTAATGTTTAACTCCATAGCATTGTAATTTTAAACTCAATCCAACAGACAAGGAAACTCCTGGATTAAGTATTGGGAGAAATTTGCCTTTGTGGAGGACTTTTTCGATGGAACTAATCCGCATTTGCGTTACATGGAGAGGAAACTCACATGGTTAGCCTGACAGCAAGGGGACTTTAACCCATGATCCGTCTACCACTGAGGATATTTTACACCAGCACTTTTGTCGGTGCGAGCCGTGTGCAAAATTTGTATCGATAAGCCATTGCTGAGATTCGAACCTGGTTCACTTCATTGGAAAGCGAATTCTATATCCCCTGGCCACGACGGATCCTGGTAAATTATTGAAGATTTTATCCTGTTTTAAAAGTTAGGTCTAAAACCCATTTTTGATGCAGTTTTTGACCATTGCTGAAATTTTTTCCAAATAATGCCTCATGGACTAAAATGTAGACACACCAAAACTATTATAACACATTAAAATAACCTGTTTGTATTAAGAAATTTATTCTAATAACTGTACTAAACATTGATAAATACACTTGAATTAATTGATTGAATTTTTTTTTAAGTCACTTAAACAAACATTTCTATTTTTGTAAATTATAATTAATTCACTTATCAGGGAAAATATTATAATCATGATTTTTAGGCAATGTTCATGCACATATAAATATTAACAATAAATATTGAGAATAAAATCCCCCCCCCCCAAGATGAGAGTAGACAATTATTAGAGACCACTTTAGTGTCCCATAAGTTAAAAAATATGCCTAAATTGCAGCACAAAAGAAAATCTATATTTAGATTTATAAAAATTAACAACTCATTACCAGCATAGGAACTGAATTTTAATACAGCAATGGAAGAGGTCAATGTTAAAAGAGGTATGTTACAAATCTGCACTTTCGAGAAAAACTGTCTTGAAAGATTGTTTTAATTAGTTCCAAATTGTTGGATTCCCTTTTTTAAGCAGTCTAGAAAATTACCCGGTATTTGATGATCGGTGACTGATATTCCAAAACCAACAATAAACTTATTTTCGTAAAAATGTTACATACCCCCTTTCAATAAATATTGATCTCGGAATATTAATAGTACATACAAAGATTTTAGAAAACCCTGTTTAAAGTTTTAATGATTTTGGCTATATTATTTTTCTATAGAGGATATATAACATGAATCAAAATTTATGTTGCATAAATAATTATTTCATAAATCAAAACTATGTAAAATTATATGCTACAATCCAATTCTATAAAACCCAACCCTGCACACTACACTGATAAGGACAATTATAGAGAGGATCTTATTTTTAAAAACAAAGTTACAGTAAATAAATATTTAAAACCTTTCAACATTGCATTAGAAAATTAAGAATTTAGGAAAAAGTGGTTTAAGTGAAAAATTATAACATCAAAAGAAAAGTTCCTCAAAAACGCCTTTTTCCAGGTTTTTTAAAATAATGTGACATTTCCAGAGTTTTACTTAACGCACATGAACCCCCAGCGTTAAATTCTAATGGCAACATGAATAAGGCATAACGTTTACTTTGTTTAATACCAAAAAAATATATATATATTGTGTTTGATTATTTACGCATATCAACATATCGTTTTTAAATAATGACTATCGTCAAGTAGAGAGCCGTTAACTATATAATGTTACGTATAATTATTTTAGAGCACTATGTGTGAATATACTAACCAATTGTAAGAACCCGCCTATGAAGTGCACTTGATAAAAAATGGTTTTCATCCTTACAAGATCTAATTTGAGTACCAACTAGTTCAGAATTTGTAGCTAGTATCCTCTGGCTTTCTTCAACCAAGTTGACTCCACCCATGGCAGCCACATCGTTTATGTCATCCTCATCCCTACGTCCAACACAAAGTTAAATATACATTTGGACAATAAACCACAAATTAAGGGTCAATATAACAAGCATGATACACAGCTGTCAACATGGATAGGAAAAAATCCAGCAGATATTACAAAATAATATGAATTGTTGCATAATGTACTAAAATTTTAAGTATAGGGAATTTTATAGTCATCACAATAGAAAAACTGCAATATTTTCTAGTTAAGATTGACATTAAATGAACTTGAAATGTTATGTATTATGTTTACTCATAATTTCGAATATTAATAGGCATTTAATTCTTCAAAGATAGTTAAGATTATTTTTTTTTAATTTAAAGAGAGTTCTAAATAAAAATAAACTGAATGTTTTAGAACAAATAAGTTTTAAACCGATTTCTGAAAATGAGGCTTGTTACATTATGTATAAGTTATACTTATTTAAATATTCAAGAAAGCAACAATCTGTACAAAAATTCTATTTCAATTAGAATTTTTTTAGGAAACATACTCAATTTTAGGGAATTTTCTAAAATGCACAAAAACCAGGAGAATTTTATTTAAACCAGTAGTCCAGGATAAACTAGCAAAATCCAGTAGAGTTGGCAGCTATGATGATATTTATATATTTATTTGTATAAACACAAAGAATAAAAAAATTAAATTTTTATGATTAGAGCTATTTAATTCAGTAACACAATTTTTAGTAAAACTTTATTACTACTAAAAAAAGCTTTTTTGTTCATGACAAGCATTTTATATATTTTTTTTAAACATTAGTTAATCAGATCTAGTTATAAAACACGTATATTTTACGAGAAGTAATCTTCCAATACAATGTTAATATTTTTTTCGCCACTGAATGGCATTGTTTAATGTTACTGTTATGTATTCAATATGTTCTATTTTCACTAGTCTTTTATCCTCCATTTTGTCAAGAACACCAACTGGGTACAGTAGGTTTTGGCCCTCCATTGGCTGTTGCGCCAGAGTTTAGCTACCTAAGATCAAGACTGAATCCAAATAAAAACATCTTACCTCACAGAAACAAAAGGTTTCTTTTCTTTGGAGGCAACTGCAGAAGGCTTTATTATTGAGACTTGTTTAGGTAACATAACTTTTGATTGGAGGGCACCCACTGTGGCTGGAGATTTCTCAACAATACCAGTATAGGAACCAGTTGTGGTGGATAATATAGGTCGTATAGATCTTGTTATATTTTGTGGCATATTAGGCTAAAAGAAATGAAAAGTACATTTAAAAAAATAAACACACAAAATCAAAAGTTTACAAATTCTTCGTTGGTTTGCATTAACTTTCCCTTAATGTGTAATAATAATTTTCCCTAATTATTATATCTATCATATGATTCAAGGTCACATGAATCAAACAGCATGATTTGTATTCACACCTTTCTAAAATTCAAAATCGTGATTCACTTCACTCTTCTTTACATTTCAATATCATGATTCATATTCATGTGATTTTAAAATAAAACAGTGTGATTCATATTCACACAATTTTAAAACCAAACACTGATTTGTATTCATGCAATTTTAGTTCAGACATTGCAATTCATATTCATGCGATTTCATATTTTTATTTTAAAGCTTTTTTCCAATTAGAAATGTTTATAATTTAAATTCAAACTTTGGTTGTTTGTATTATAGGATTAAAATGTGAAATAAAAAATTTGGAATAGATTATAGAATTTTATGTTTCTATATAAATTCGTTATGAAAAAATTAAAAACCCAATTTATGCAATAAATTACAAAAAAGTATTTTTCATTCATGCTACAAATATATTTTAACAGAAATATTTAAAAAGTATAACAGAGACACTATAATGACACTATAGATAATATAATGTAGAGTGTCAACTATTTACATAAAATTATTCAATTAAATGTTTCCTTCAAGTGTTGCTAGAGGGCCATAAAAAACGCAACACGATGACGCCAGAGTGGATCGTCCTTAAGTATTACAGTTCATGGTTTTAACATTATATTGAAAAATTAATAAATGAGTGGGAATAGGTTTTAGCAAAAATATGGGAATAGACTGAAAGCTTTTAGTTAAGTTTTTTTTTGCAGCCTGTGATAAGTTAATATTGATTGCTCAGTTACAGAGATTTCTGCAATGTGATTTCATTATTTACACAATTTGAGTAGTTTATGAAATTGTCAATTATGAATTGAATATCTATCATCAACTATAAGGCAAAATTAGGAAATTTTGATACTGACCAAGGGCTAGTTATAACATTCATAATAGTCGAACCCTTTTTTTTAAAAAAGATGTGATAGTTTAATCACAAATTTAAATAATTAAAAAACTGTTGATATTATCACTGCAACATTTCTTTAAAAATATTTCATAATAATATAATCAATGTGACAAGATTCATCTCTAAAATAATGGACAATTTTAAGAAACAAGCATGAAATAAAGTAATTTTCAAAATACAGTCGAGCCTCTTTATTGCCAAAACCGCTTGACGTGGAATATCGCATTACATGAAACACACGTTTGGTTCTGTGAGTCAGCAATCAATTATTATTGTATTTTACATGCTTAACATGAAATTTTGAAGCTGATTATTGCTTATCATGAAAGAAAGAAAACTGAAAACAGCACACATGATAATAATGTGAATAAAGTCAAACTCATTCATTTTCAGAAATGCTATTTCTATTTTCTTCCTTTGCTAGAAGTAACAGATGGGCAAATAAATAAAATAGTTTAGTAAAGTAGTTAACACTTTTGAGCTTATTTTAATTTGTTTCATAATAGTATTGTTTGCATACATTAATGTAGTACATAACATGTATTAATAATACATAAATTTTTTTCATGATGTATCGGATAAAACTAAATTCAGTTTTTTAACATAAATAATAATTACAGATTTCGCATTAAGAAGATTCAACTGTATTTTAAAGTAATCATAACAATTCCATACTTATTCAATAAATTACAATGCACATGGGTTAATTTTTCCAGGAAAATGTTGCGACCGTGCAGAGATCAGCAGACAATTATTTAATTGCCATTTGTGGCATTGAGTTGTCCAATGGTCAATTTCGCATTACATCTCCTATATATTTTTTTAATAAAAATTATTTACAAAATTTCAGTAGAAAAAAATTATCAATTGGGTATTTGCACTTCAAAATGAAGATCACACATGTGAACTATCACGTCAGCACAGACTGATCGTTTATAAACAAAATGGGGTGTTAAAGTCGAGCTAAGTTTCTCCACATAAATTAGAATGTTAATTAATGTGATATTAATTAAATACAGCGCCATATTGCACATCAAATATGTTGAAATATATTTTTTTTCTCATCTGCGTCTTCTATTTGACTCAGATTTACTATTGTTTATATATTAACACATAATATGTGTTTTATAATGTGATATATTGTTGCTTTATGTACCTGGCAACTTTAATGCACAATCAGTTTGTTTATATTCTACGTGACTTCATGCCTGTCTTTGTATTAATTAAGAAATATATAGCAAAAGAATTGAAATCTTTTTGAAAGAATCTCGGTGAAGAACATAGAACGTTTCACTAAGGAGAATTGACACCCGACGGGCTTGGCTTACTCGAAACAGAATAGAAAAAGAGCGGTTGCAAATGTCATGTTTCAACAACCAATTAGGATTGTTAAAACCACACTATGCCACTTGCACATATCCAATTAAAAAAAAATCAAGACAAGTTATCACCCATGTAATATTTTTTTTTCCAAAAAAAAAAAAAAAAAAAAAAAAAAAAAAAAAAAAAAAAAAAAAAAAAAAAAAAAAAAA